GTGATGAATCTCTTGCGACCCTTGTAGACAAAGCCGTAGTCCATCATGATGTACTCCTGCAGCAGGATTTCACTCGGTAAGTAGACATCATCCTCTGAGCCGGTAAGAGCAGTGGAGGGAGCAAAACCCCAAACCAAACAGAGTAATAAAATTAAAAAACAAGAACAACAGCATCTTGCTGAAAGACAGGAGAAGCAGTGAGTTGCTTGGGTAGATGGCTGCGGAAATTAAGACTGAACCCCCTGAAGAGGCTACTGTGTCTTTTTCTAGAAGCCACAATACAATGTATACATTAAAAAATAATGATTATTATTTTTTCCTGATTGTGAAAGTGACAAGCTTGTTGTAGACAGCTGGAAAACACAGAGAGATGGAAAGAAGCCAGTGACAGCAGTCATTCCTACCCATCAGAGGCACACACTGTTACAGTTGGATGTATTCCCGTCACTCTCGCTTTTTATACATGTATATTGAATATAATTAGGACCACATTGCATTCCATTTCTTAATCGATGCCGCTCACCATGGCACAGTGAACGTTTTCCTTATGACACTGAAAATTCTTTGTAAAGATGATTTTTAGCAACACATATTATATTGCACAGATATGCAGCAATTTATCTTCTGGGATTTCTAGAAGAATGTCACAGTATTCCCAATGGGTTGGGTTAGCATTATAGCCTATGAGCAAGTCTTACCTGCACTCCACGGGTTAAAAAGCAGGATGAAAGTCCCCACCAGGTAAGTCATGCTGTGACCCTGACCCTGGGACATCTGGATCATGAGAGTATAGGGGCCAATGACTGCATTGGCTGGTGTGAAGACAGAGACTCGGAGTGAGTTCAGGTCGATGGTGAAGTCAGAAGCACTCCAGACATTCCCGTGCTGGGCCTGGGTGAGCGAGAATGTGGCTCGGGTTCCCCGGAGCTCCGTGGGCTCTGATCCTGTGTAGGAGAATGATCCCAAAGCTCAACTGTAGTGTGATTCCAGGGAGACTGGAAAGACCCCCACCTTCTCCCATCAGTTGCTAAACCTTTCTTCAATCTATGGCTTTTACTGCCGCTGGGCACCCTTGGGCAAGACACTTAAGATCTCCGGGCCTCAGTTTCTTATCTGTAAAATGGGATCGTAATAGCACCCCCCTGAAAGTCTTGTCTTAGAGTGTAAATAAGACAATGCATATGAAATTTTAACACAGTGCTTGGTGTGTAATTAAAGGTCACTGTTATTACCTTAGAGTCTCTGGGTGGTGCAAATGGTTAACATGCTTGCTGCTATCCAAAAGGTTGGTGGTTCAAGGCCACTTAGAGGTGCCTCAGAAGAATGGCCTGGCAGTCTACTTCTGAAAAATCAGCCATTGAAAATCCTATGGAGCACAGTTCTACCCTGACACATGCCATGAGGTAGAATCAACTCAATGGCAACTGGGTTTGGTTTTTTGATTATTACCAAACCTTATCAGTTTGCTGAGCTGGCCAAATGTTTCTTTAACAGTACTGAGAGGGGCTGAGCATGGGGGTCCTGGGGAGGTCCCAGGAGAAGGGAGGGGAGGGAGGCTCAGAAAGGAGGGGCAGGGACCCTGCAGGTGAACTTTGCTAGTGCCCACATTCTGAGGGAGCCCATCGGCCTTGGGGCAGGGGCAAACTCACCGGTCTCCGCCATGTAGGTGATGTTGTCGATCCGGGGCTGGAAGCTCCGGTTGAAGTTCAGGATGATGATGAAGACCTGGCAGCGGGGCACGATGAGCCGCTTCAGGCCCATCTCCTGTGTGTGGTGCTCCTTGTTCTTCCTGGGATTCTGCAGGTCAGCGGAGCTCAGCTCCAAGGCTGCCACTGGGGGAGGCGAGGGGGACAGGTCATGCCCGGCGGCAGCTCCCTGGGCTCAGGCTTCACC